TCAGGAACTATATTCAAATTCATATGAAAGATTGACCTTAAGTCTAAATCAAGGTAATAATAAGATAATCATACGATTACCTTGCAGAACTGGTTGAAGATGAGAATGAAAATGATACGGTGATGATTAGATTATCCAGATAAGATTAATAAATCGTCAGTCTTGTTACAAGGTAACTTTTTCTTCACCAATCAACACCTTTCACATAGTTTCTTCATCGATCAATTGAATCAGTTTAGTAGAAATGTATTCGCATAGTAACAGAATCGATACATTTCCAGATAAGATTATTTCTATTAATAATAATTCTAGTATAGGATAAGATTGCAACATATCGATATGATCAGTAATTTGATGACGATCATGTTGAACGATTATCGCAAATCTCTGGTAAATTTAACCAATTTTCTGGTTTAACCTTAATTTAAACCAGGATATGGTTAAAGTTTCAATTTCCTTCCTTTGAGAAAATTTATTTTTGTTCATCAATTTAATTAAATTTTCTCTGATTAATTAATTAAAAAATTACGAAGCAATAGTTGATAATTTCCAGTAAAATCTCATAATCAACAATGAATTTGAACATTGAGTTGATTTCTTTAAAAATAATTATACTATCATTTCAATAATTTGTTATCGTCTCTCAATGAAGTTGAATTAATGCCTGAGGCTAATTTGAACTGATAATAAATAAATAGTCATAATCATGATTACATTTGATTCAGGTTAATAATTTACTACAAATTTGGTACAACAAAATGAAACTTTGTTTTCAAGAAAAAGTGTTAACATTGTAAGAGTTACAATGTTAATGATGATGATGAGAATTGAGATTAGAGGAAGACAATTAGATGCGAGGTTTGATATTTAAATCTAGTTTAATAACTTGAGTTAATTGTGATGAGAGGGAAGGGGTTTGTTGACAGTTAATAAGGTTCACAATTCTCACGAGTAGTCAAGATATTCAACTGAATTCTGTTGAAGTTTAGTTGATGAGCTTCGAGGCTCAAGTCATCATCATTCTCTTTCTCTTCCTTCATCATCTCGTTCTTGTTCATCTTCTTCTTTCTCTCTCATGGTCAAAATGAGCATCATCATCTTCCTCATTACAGGATAAGAGCTTTAATCAGGCCTGACCTGAATCCGATTATTAACCAACAATTAATAATCTCTTTTCTTCATTAGTTGAATAAATGATATTCATCTTCCGGTGAAAAGTGAATAAGTTCATTTCCAATGCATTGATCATTCAATTATGATTAGAAAGTAATAACTGTTAATGTGAATTAATTGGTATCAGTTTAATTGTTCCCTTCTAATTGTGATTTAAAAAAGTCTTTTGTGATGTTCATCTTGTTAATTTAATGTGTGACCATTAACAAGCTATTATAATGAGCTTTAATTAACAGTTTGAATGAGATTTAATCGCCTCAGGAAATAAGATGTTAATCCATCATTGAAAGTTACCATGAAAAGAATGAATTTTTCTTCTTTTTTCTCTTGGACGAAACTTTTTTCTTTCTAATCATGAACTGGCCTCAACTTGATTCATCTCCATCCTCATCCTTTCATCTTCTGTCCCAACTAAATGATTAAAGTGCAAGTTTAATCATTTATTAAACAATAAACTAATTAATAGGAAGAAAACTTTGCTGTTGCTCTTAATTGTTTCTCCATCATCATTATAATCAATTGTTATTAATTTTTATTCTATTAATTAGTGGATAGAGAGAGAGAGAGAGAGAGAGAGAGAAATCAAGTAGCAACAATTCATCATCAATTGTGATTAATTTTCTGGGTTAATTGTTGAAGGAGTTAATTTAACAAACCATAAACTCATCTCAATTGTGGCTTAACTTGTCACATTAGATTAATTTGAATATTTGAATGTTGTAAACATCAAGAAAATAATTTCAATAATCTAAACTGAATCTGAAATGATAATCATGAAATTATCACTCGAGATTAACGAAAAGTTAACAAATCAATTATAAAATGTAAAGTAAAAATTTAATTCAAATTTTTACCTTTGAATTTTTGTCACGTTATTTATCATCTTCCAGGTAAATTGTATCATGGTAAAGATGAAGCCTGAAGACAATTGAATTTTCTGCCTCATATTTGAACCTCATTTTGTTATTAATCTAATAATAGTAAAAGCGCAATTTAATGAAACACAAATGAAGTTCCAATTGCTCAGAATAATAATGATCAATTCTGAATAATTAAAAATTTCTTGTTCCAATCAAACTAAAATTTGAATTCCTTTAGGGTTTTTATTAGTCAAGCCCAAGCTGAGCATTTAATGAGTAACCTCAACCACCCCTTAACTCCCAATTGATGTAACTAAATATTATCAAATTAACTGCAAGTTTGCAACAATTAAACAACGATAATGATGATTAGCAATGATGATTTGGGATGATGATGATTGTAAGGAAAGACAAATAAGTAAAGAATCATTAATTCACATCATCATTTGGATTGATGAAAGCAAATCAAGAAAAAGAAAAAAAAACTATTAATCTTTCGAATCATTTTAATAATGATCAAATTAACTAATTAATTATCATTTGATGAAAAGTTAATTCATGAAATTGAAGCTGATTAACTGCGAATCAAGAATCAATGTTATTCAAAAGGAAAAAGTAAATTCATTTTGCAACTGATTCTTTTTCTCTTCTTTCTCTTTCCCTTATCTTCTTGCCTCTTTCTTTTATCATCCTAATCTTCTGTCTATTTATCTCTCTTTTCAGTGTAAGGATGAACTTTGGAAAGGGCAAAAAGTTGATTGGCTTTTATGGTCTCAAGAAAAAGGGTGAACACCAATCATCTGGTTTATCGAGGGATCAGACTAATCAGACTAATCTAAGTCCAAGACTAATCATCTTTAATCATATCGTTAATCAGTTGTCTGAGACAATTGCCTAAGTCTTGTTGAGACCTGGACAACAACTGTAACAAGAAAAGGCTCCAGGGCATTTTAAAGATTCAATCTTTTAGGTTGTGACTATTCACTATGTTGGTCAGTTTCTTGATTACGGTTCAATAGATTTAAGATTGACCTTAACTCAGATTATAATGACATTTGACACTAAGTAAAAAATGACAGATTTCCAACGTTTAGTTACCTTCTAAATCTGATGATTAACAATAATTAGAAAGATAATTAACACCAGGATTTCGTTCAAGGAAGTTACTGTTTAGTCGTTTTTTAATTAACAGAATATTAAATTGGATTAATCGTGATTGAATGTGAATCAGCTCATCGTTTATATTGTTAACATGGACTAAATTGAGATGTTAACTTAATAATTACCTGTAACCCAATTGGCGATTATTAATAATAAATATGATTAAGGATCGGTGATTATCGAGTAAAAAGTATAATAAATTATCAACATTAAACTAGAAATGACTGTTAACTGTTTGATGATTGGGTGATTAGGTGATTAAAAAGAAACTTAATCAACTAATTTGGAAAACCTTTGATTCTGATTTATTAGATGTAATCAAACTTGGGGCAAGTTTATTTACACCGAAGTATTGAAAAGATAATAGAGTTTACAATTTATCAATTGTAACGATTTAGTTTGTTACAAGTTCATTTAACTAACTTGATGATTTGTAGTTTAGTTAAATTGCTTTGTGACGCTAGTTAATCAAACACCACCTCAAGGCTGTTCAGTTAAATTGTTTGTCCAAACTCAATTCAAGAATTGAGTATTTGTTTGCTTCCTTAATTGTGAATTAAGATTGTTAACAATTGATGGGTCAATCAATTGCAATTCAACAATAACTGGTTAAACATGACCATTAACAAGATTACAACTTTTTCTTAACCATTGAGGTTAACATTATATTGAAAATCATTTCCATTCAAAAATATAATTAAACTTAATCATTTGTTTAGTCAATTGTTTTGATAAACAATTATTTAAATCGATTGGTAATCAATTTATTTTTGGGCAAATTAAACTGATAATCAATCATCATTACCATAACTGTAACTGTTAACAGGAGCTACTGTTTCCTCGTTCAATTATCATCCTTGTATTCAAATGAGATTTCAAATTTTAATCAGATAATCTGATTAAATAACAAGTTGATACAATATTTTCAATCAACAACTTGTTAACTTTTAGAGTAAATTTGGATCATTTTTGTGAAATTGATCCTTGAAACAGATTAACTTGATTACTGTCAACACAACTAAAGCTCATTATTTTCATATTTCTTAAGATATAAGTGTTTCTGTAACATTTCTCAAGATTACCTGAGTTTCTGTTGCTTTTTTTCATTCAGGGTGATTGACATGATTCCATTTGCAATCGTATTATATAAAATCTTTTTCAATGAAAACTGTCAACAGAAAAAATGTTGCTAATAAATTGCGTTTAAGTTGATTACTTGTGGTTACCCGAGCTGTTTATGATTAACACACAATTAAATTAAATTATATGTTAAAACAATCAGATGAGATGATAGGTGATAAACTAATGTGATTGTTTCATTCAATCATCTTCATCATCTTCATCTCCTCCCATCTCATAATTTAATTCTGGTACAAGATTTACAAACATAACAAACTAATTTGGCAAAATTTTTGTTGTTAAAAGCTGTCACTTAATTGTATCTTAATTGGCTGGGCCAATGATCAAGGTAAATCAATCAAATGGTTATAATTACAAGTCAAGTCAATTGGCCTTCAATCAATTGCTTTCAATTAGTTTCATTGATTGATTTGATTAAATTTAAATGCTCAAGATCAATGATTCACTTTGGGTTATTAATTCAATTTTTGTATCAATTGCAATTAAAACGCTGATAATCATATTTGAACTGTTAATTATTTCATCTGTATTGGTTAAATTAGCTGGTTATCAGGTTAGAAAGTTGATTGTTGTTAGTGTATCAGCATTGATTAAGTGTTAAATTGTCAACTGTTAATTTCGTGCCAACAATAAGTTGATATTTTTTGCTGAGATAATCAATCTTACCGGAAGCTGACCTTCCTTTGGTCCTCGATTTGCTGCTGAGATTTGAATGTGAACCGGATAAAGACTTAGAACTACTATGGAAAATAGATGGAGCTGAAGATGCTGAATGATGGTGATGGTGATGAGGATGATGAGGGAATCCATAAGAAGGTGATGAAAGGTCAGTTGAACTTGGTGATGAACTTGTTTGACCATTGCTACTACTGTTGTTGTTACCATAATAACTGGTATGATGATGATTTGAAGATAAAGGATGAAGAGATTGGTGGTGAGGATTAAGATGAGAGGATAAATGTGAAGGATGAGTGAATGGAGATGGTGATGATGATCCATTGATTGGACTTGATGATGAACCATTGTTATTATTTCTACTACTATTATGATCATTATTATTATTAGAATTTGAATTATTACCTTCACGAGGTTTATTTAAGCTACTGTTTAGACCATTGGTATTACTATTACTACTTGTTCCACTTGCCACTGATGACACTTCAATATTATTTGAATTGTTGTTGTTGTTGTTGTTTCCACCCTGATGATGGTGATGGTTGTTGCTGTTTCCACCTCCTCCTGATCTTCCTTTGCTTCGAGACTCCAAAGATGAATGAGAATTAGAAGACTTAGAGATGTGTAACATTGAAGGTGCTGAGGTAACACTAACTGGACCACCAGAGGTTCCAGTTAAATTGGAGGTAGCCACATGATTAGAACTTGCCAAAGGAGCCTAACAATTTACAGAGAAATGACACAATTAATCAACGATTGTTAATCATCGACCGATAATATTTACCTGGAATTGAAGTCGTCCAGCGATCGAATTTGAACAATGTGAAGGATGATAAGGATGAGCATTATCATCCGAATTACAGTTACTTGATCCTGAAGCCCATGAGGGTGAGGCTCTTAGTCCTGAATTATCTGAATCTGATGAAACATATTGTCCTCTGTACAAACCAATATAAGGATTCTGTTGATTTGCTGAATTGGTATAAGGACCAGCTACAAAATTCTGAAACATTTTGATATAATTATCAATGATTGAATGTTTATTATTAATTAATAATAAAATTCAATCAATTCTTTTACACATAAACAAGAAGATAAACAAAACAATAGTCACTTTTGTTCACTTGATTGTTAAGACGATTCAATAATTAATCCCTCGTGTTTTCCGATTATCACAAAAATAACACTGATTAGATGAAGATGATTAAAGATGATTAAGATTTTGAAGAAAAGTTGATTTTCACACAAAGATAAAGATGAAGAAAAGATGAAGATGAAGATAGAAAAAATAAGAGCCCGAAACGTCGGGTTTCGCGAACAAGATGATGATAACGAAAGAGAGAAAAGGAGAATTTGATTCTGTGATTCACTTCATTCTTCGTAAGGAAAATGTCAAACTGATGTTACATGAGTTGAGAGCATTTAGAAAGAGAAGAATGAGAGAGAAAAACGGGAGGAGTTTGGGTGCAAGAATAAAGTTCTATCATTGGTTGGATTGCATCGAATGGGTCGAACCAAGAAAATGTTATCATCCAATCGGATGATAAGCAAAAAGAGATTGAAAAGAAAGAGAACAAGATATTATTCTTCTCTTTCTTTTATCAACTTCATCTTCATCTTCATCATCATCTACATCAACCATCGAACATCATGTAGATAAAATGAGGATCAAGGGGCAGGGAAATCTGATGATGAAGGAGGCGTAGGAGAGAAAGAGAGGAAAAAGAGGAGAAAGAGGAGAAAGAGAAAGAAAGAAGAAAAGAAAGAGAATAGGAAAGTAGAAACGCCTTTCGAAATAACTTTCAAGTAACAGATAAGATGATGAAATTATCCGAATATTAACAACGCAAACTCTTTTTCTTTTGTATTGAGCGTTTTTTGGTGAATTTACTCTGAACTTTTGAAAAGAGATTTTTTCATCATGACGAAATGTTTTTCTTTCTTTTGTTTCAACCAAATGGAGTCAAATTAATCTGAAAATAATGTTTCTTATTCATTATCTTATCTCAATCCAAGAAAACCTCAGAGATGAACAATGAGCACAAACGAAACTCATCTGAATCTGAATCAGTTGAATGAGTTCTAATTGCAAAATCGATATGAATCATTTTCATGGAATCAGTTGAAATGTTATCATTTGTTCAACTAAATGTCGATATCAACATTGAATCTAGTGTTTGATTCAAGAAATATGATAAGTTGATGATCAACTGATGCACAATATCAACTTACGATTTAAACACTGATTGTAGATGTTTGTGGTTTCGATTGTTGTTTGTCTCTCATTGACCTCGAACATTGTTCAAATCTAAACTTGATCTTCTCTCTGGATCAAGATTATCATCTCTCTAATTGAACTACCTCAAAGGAGTAATTGATAAGATAAATGTAAATGATTAGATAATTTAGTAAATGTTTCACAAAAGGAAATGATATTTGAATATGTTATTAACTGTTCCCATGATGTTTCTTTGTCTCTGTGAGTTTTAAAGTTTAAAAAGACGCATTTGAATAATAACCAGACCGAGAGTCCGTTTCCGTCATCAACCTTATCATCTTCATCCTCATCTTGGTCTCCATCTTCTTCTTCTTCCTACGAAGAAGATGAGACTCATAGTAAAAGAGCTTTTGTCTTTAATCATCTTCATCTTCTGTTATCTTCATGTTTCACATGTTAGAGCATAATGAGAATAAAGGAGAGAACTGAAAACTCGCCAAGACTTTTATGCAAATTTTAATTCTACTCACTAATTAGAATAAACTATTTTCGTGGTAACCAAATTAATAAAAGAAAAAGAAACAAATGAGCTGCATTGGTAATCGAATTTATCATTTAGTTTATCGTTTCGATTCAAACATAAACTGTCACCAATTCTCAATTTAATCAACAGTTTTAATCAAAATTAAACTTTGCCAGTTGAAAGATTAACTAATTGTTCGTAATTATTATGAAATAACTGTTACCTTTTATTATCGTTGATAGTAACGCATGATCCAAATCAATGTCTTCCTTTGAGCATGATTATCTTGATCATTTTTGATTCGGTTCGGTGGTTAATTCTGATCGATAACCGATTGAGATATTAGGTCTTGTTACTTTTTTGCAAACAATTAACACAAAACAATTTGAATATTATTTAGTGTTGACAATTTGAACTAATCGCTGAAAATTGTTGGATCCTTTTAAAAGAGTTTATTTGATTCACTTAATCAATAATTGATTGGTTCTACAATCGATAGAGCATTTAATTGATTACTCGAATATCCTTGAAATATTATCGATATTTGTGATAAGAACGATAAAACTACCGTGTCTGATTGATTCCCAATACACTTGACAATTAGTCTTTATTATGATAATTTTGATTGTTAACAGTTGATTTGATTGGTACAAGTTTTGATTCGTAATTTAATTTTATCGAAATTTCCAATCAACATTAAGATAAAACTCATAATCTTATGAGAAACGGATTGAGATGATTTTAATCGTAAAACAATTAATTTTGATTGAGAAACGTTGATTACGTGAACATGAGATATTGTCTGTTGATTAATTCTAATTGATGTGTTTTCCTTGCAAAAGATAAAATGGAAAATCAATGTCAATGTTTCTTATTCTTATTCTTCATCAGAATCTGAACATAACCAAAATATTATCTGAGAAGATAATCAATGGAAAGGAAAGAAGCTCAATCCTAATCTAGTCTAAAGAATTGTAATCTGATATTTGAATGATGAGAGATCGAGAACGATGAATGGCTTAATTAGTTGAGATGGAAAATGATTTAGATTATAGACAAGATGATGAAGATAAAAGAGAGAAAATTTTACCAAGTGGAAAGTAAAAGATGGAACATTGATAGAGAAGAAAGAAAGATAAATACAGGGTGAACACCTTTACCAATGACATTTATGAGCTTTTACCTGGGACATTATTTTTACGCTCACTCCTTAAAATGTCAAGGGAAATGGTCACTCGGTAGCTTAGTGGGAAGATACCTGGCCCATGATGAAAGGAACATCTTATCTTTGCTTTTTGATAATAAGCCGTAAATCTTTGGTCATTATAAATTGACCTTTACCTGGACCTCGGTGATAATTAGGTAACCATTGGAAACAGTTTAATGTTTATATTCATGTGAACACAAAGTTAAACTTTAGTTGATTGTTGATCGTTTAATTGTTTTTGTCTCTTCTTCTTCTTCTCACTGATCAATACAATTAATATAATTGATGTTAATAAACTTGAGTCTTTGTTGATCATCAAAATGCCAAAATCAATTAAATTGTTAATAATAACTTGGGGCAGATTAATTTATTGTCAGCACAATTAATGTGGTTCAGGAAAGGTAGCAGTTTATTAAATATCATAATAGTATAATTGAGTTAATCAATTGCGACCAAACAATTAAATGAAAAATAATCTGGTTGAATTTCAAGTCAAAACATAAAAAAGTTTATTAGTTTAATGATTTTGGAAAAAAAATTAGTTCAATCAAATTTTGAGTTAATTAAACGACAATTTGATTGCGACATTAAATTGATCATTATTACAGTTTATGCTTTTTTTTGAAGTAGGATTTTAGTTTCAATTGGGATACTTGTTAATGTTTATAATCCAATTGATGACAACAAATTATCATAACAATTAACTAAATTTCCAGCCAAAAATTGGAAAAGTGAGAAAAGCTTTTCCTTTTCTATTATAATGCCAACCACTCCTCATCGTTTCCATCTCTCATCTTCCTCCTCCATCGTTAACGGAGACTATCTTGTATTCTTATCTGAACATAATCGACAAATTTGCCTCGAGGCAATTAGAGCCTTCGATATCTCTTAGATGCATTTTCATCAATATTTTGTTAACTTAATTGTTACAATGTTTCATTTTCATCGCATCTGCTAACCAATACTTTCGAGGAATCACCTTGATGGTGAAACCTGAAGGAGCCACGAGACTTTTAGGCCAACCAATTTTCTCGAAACATAAATGTTTCTACGATTTTCTTGTAAAAAATGAAAATTACCAAGAGAAAGTCACATTTTCAGGGCTGGACTATTTTCATTTTATCAAATTTTCAATCTTTTCTGTTTCCGGTTTTCATTATTTTCTGGATTCACAACTAAATCAACTTTATTTTATGACAAACTTTTATCAGTAACGTTTCCGGTTTGTTGTTGACTTTTTTTAATGATTTAAATTGCAGCAAAGTTACAAACAAAAATGATACTAATTATCAATAATTAACTAAATCAAAGTTTTTACAGTTCAACTTTTATTTATTTCTGTCTCTTTGTGAGTTAATTGTTTTCATACCACAATTTTTATCACTAATTAACTTATATCGCAACTTAATCAGTGCCAATCAAGTTACATCAACTTTATCAAAGTTAATCAACAAATTACTAACCTATCAAATATCTTAATAGTTAACATTGAATCTTAATTGCTGTAGGAAAATATCATCTTACAAAACTGTTTAAATGGTTGATAATCAATTTGATCTCAGTGATTGTGAATACAAAGTAAATTATTTACTTTAAATTGTTTCAAAATTTTGATTCACAGAATCAAAATCTAATCAACATTAATAAGTTTGTTTCTCACAATCAAAAACCAGATTATAATTGACATGAGATTTAAATTGTGATTTATTGATTGTTAAACTTGTTGACTTAATGACCAACCAGTAAACGTTGCATAATTTACAATGTTAAACATGATGAAACCTTTGACCTTGTGAAAATTGTGTTGATAACTATTGTAAATTCATTGACAAGATAAACGATTAAATTAAATGTAATCAATTGCAATTGATTGTAAATGAAAAACAAATAGAAAACGTTTCATGGTTAATGCGCCCTCTCCCGAGATACACAAATAATTGCAACTTAAATGGCGGGAAAATGTTTCCCAGGGTTCATCATGATAATAAATATTAGATTAATGATAATCAACTAACCTTAACCATCATTGCAAATGAATTTGCCTCTTTTTTATTCTTACACTTTTTGCCTTAAGCCACAAGTTAATATTTGCCATAGATTTAAATAGGAATCAGTTTTTTATTCTTGAATAAAATGGTGACAATGTCATTTGAATGATGTGATTGTGCACAAATTCATTGTGTCTTTTTGTGCGAGTGGGAGAGAAGGCGATAGATTGTGTGACTTGGTCTCACTTCTCATCGCACTCACTGTACCTGAGTCAGTTATTTGGTGATGAAGATGATCATCTTTCGACTATTATCGAAAGACACGCGTTCTAAATAAGCTAACTTACTGTTCGCTTTGTTTGTTACTTTGATTCGAGGTAATAGACTTTTACTGCCTCTTTTATTCTGTGGGCAGTGGGGTGTTGGAAGGGAAGAGGAAGGAAAGGAAAGGAAAGTGAGA